GGGGGGGGGGGGGGGAGAGAGAGAGAGAGAGAGAGCAGATCAGAAGGAGAGAGATAGCCGATCAGATCCAAAGAGAGATAGCAGATCAGATCTCATCCTATTAGATCTGGTTGAATGTTATATCCCCTCGTTGCCGAAGAGTTCCAAATGGCCCCTGGTTGATGAGAGCTGGGACCAAGTGGGAGTGGGTGAGAGTGAAAGTAGATTAAAACCCTAGAAAAAATATTGTGGAGGGTATTGTAATAATTTTCTACCGCCTAACTTTTGAATCTGGGATCCAGTTATCCCGCCTCTAATCCCCCAAATCTGGGATCCAAACACCCCCACGCTAGCTAATACCTTGGCCCAAAATACAACACACAGAGGTAGAGAGGGGAAGATGAGAGAGATTCAAAAATTAAAACGCCTCATGAATCATGGAGTTTTTTTCNTTTTCTACCGCCTAACTTTTGAATCTGGGATCCAGTTATCCCGCCTCTAATCCCCCAAATCTGGGATCCAAACACCCCCACGCTAGCTAATACCTTGGCCCAAAATACAACACACAGAGGTAGAGATGGGAAGATGAGAGAGATTCAAAAATTAAAACGCCTCATGAATCATGGAGTTTTTTCCCCCTAAATTATCGTGATTTTCTAATTAATTTCCTCTCTAATACAATTTCTAACTTATTTCTCAATATACCATTATTCTATAAGAGTGTGATTTAAAGTTTAAACCCACATTTTTTTCGGTATAAGAATGCGTTTGCAAACAACATTTGTAAAATTTTCTATTAAAATCATGTTTTTAAAACTGTTTTACAACCACATTTGTAAGTTTTTCTATTAAAATCATGTTTTCAAAACACTTTAGCATTAAAAATTGCGGGTTTAAACCACGTCCTTATAGAAATAATGGTAGTTTGAAAANAATGCGTTTGCAAACAACATTTGTAAAATTTTCTATTAAAATCATGTTTTTAAAACACTTTTACAACCACATTTGTAAGTTTTTCTATTAAAATCATGTTTTCAAAACACTTTAGCATTTAAAATTGCGGGTTTAAACCACGTCCTTATAGAAATAATGGTAGTTTGAACAATAAGTCAGCAAATATAGTATTGAGAGCATATAAAGTTGGAAAATACGGTAGAATGACAATGAATTCACCATGTCCCATTGCCCTCGTTATTGAGAGAGGAGTTAAAACCAACAGTCATGTCCCCTTTGTTATATTAAGTTCAAAACCAGCAGGAGCAAGCCAACATAGAAGTTTTCATTGCCTGAAAGGCAATATACTGTTTCTTTGAACGCAGGCATGCAAGATGATCAAGCAGCAGGTACGCATTTCTCCCACATGCCATACATTGAACTGAAGCTTCCTCCTCCCAAGCGCTTCGCTAACTCCGAGAAAACCGCCCGAGCACAAGCATCCCAAGTTTTTGCCATCTCTCCAAGCGACATGGGCTGAGGAAGTTTGCGAAGCGATAAACTGAAACTTGACTTTGCCTTCTGTGACAGATCTTCCAATTCTTCACTGTCACTAATGGAGTAAATCAATTCACATCATATCAACATAGCTATTCAGACTGTAAAAGGGAAATGAAAAAAAAAAACCTCAAGGTATTTAGTCCCCACTTTAGCTGACCAGCTCCATCCATCCATCCATAAACATATAATCTTCACGGTGGATTTAGGGAACAATTACAAGTGCTAATAATCGTTGCTTAGTTGAGCCATAACTTTGCCGAAGTTCGTTCATGTTATACGTTTGATTGAACACCAATGGTATAGAGATTCAATGAAGACTTATTTTAAAAGAAGAAATGTAAATGGCTCGACCTCTCACCTACAACCAACTGGTGACATATCCATGTATACAGGTGATGAATTGGGATAATCTGCAGGAACAAGCAATCGTACAACAAAGTTTTGCCACTGTGAACAGAAACAAAAGAGCACATCAATGAGTAAATTGAGAACAGACGGCATTAGAAAGTAGGGATATCAGATCGTCCAAAGAATATATATGTGAATTAAAGTTGATAGAAATTCTTTAGAGCCCCACCATTTGTGATAAAGCACAGTGCAGCTTAAAGTCCTCACTAAGGCCCAGAGCCTTGTATGAGCACCTGACAATGGTTCCTTCACCAGCTTTAGCTGCATCTTTGGTGCAATCTAAAACCACATCCAACACAGTTTCGACTAGCTGCATGTTGATGGCTTTAATCTCTTGTAAGAGCACAATATTGGGCTGTGTCAATAAACATATAGTAATTCTTGTCAATATACAAGCAGATACCAGAGTAGCATGGACATATGGTGGGCAGGACAACCAGGAATAGAACTAGAAACAATGAGCAGAATTTGTCAGAGTGATTGTTGCTGTGGAGTGAACAGTGTCATACATGTCAAGGATATTGGAAAGGCCAAAAGTAGGTTAGTAGGTAGGGTAAATAATCCAAATATGATAACTTGCTAAGGATTTTACTTCAGCAGCTAAGAGAAGTTGCTGAGTCAAAGTAGCAATGTTTTCAACCCAGTTTAGAAAACCAGGAGGTCCAGGACCTATATAAATATAAAATTAAGTAGCTGACACAATTTGTGAAATCAAGAGAAAACAGACTATACCACCTAAAAACAATTATTACCATTGAGGAAGTATAAAGATGTACAGCCAAAAAAATAATATGATCATGATGAGAACTTTACAGAAAAGAACTCCTTCATTTATAGATTTATTAATTTGAATCTGTGCAACAAAAGATAGTGATTGTCATCAGTCATCATCTACTCAGGAGTTGAAGAAAGATGAAAATGGGACCATAAGAGACTGTCAAGGCCACCCCAGACAGATGCTAAATTGTTCTGCTAAAAAGTACAATGATACGAGTCTGAACTGTACAAGTTACACAAGAGGCCCTAACACACTTAAAGTAAACTTTGTCATTTTCATTTTCCAATTTTGGCCAAATAATTATGCTGACATTAACGTTTAGTAAACAACACTACCAGATACAGGAGAAACAAGCCATAAAAAACCATAAATCCTTATCAAGGATTAACAACAGGCAGTAATTGGAAAAATTTACTGGGAAAATGACTCATTCAATATGCTGTATTGAACATATATCTGAGTTATTATACCCACCACATGTATAACTCAAATTATNCATTCAATATGCTGTATTGAACATATATCTGAGTTATTATACCCACCACATGTATATGACAAATTGTGCTAACAACAAACATGTATATTGATTTTGACAAGACATGAAAATTCACTTTAAAAAAAAAAAGAAAATTTATGCTATTCTTAAAATGCACTGTTGAATAGTGGCATATTGTTTTGTCAAGCATAAATGTACTAATGCATCACATTTCGCCCAACTGTTCTGGCACACATACGAAAATGACTCACCAACTTTAATACACCTGAGAAAATAACTACAACAATTGATTCTACCTCCGAAACAGAACATTTTCAAAAATACCCAGACCCCTACCATGATGTGCTCTTGCAAATAGCATAGACACTTCCTGTGACTACATCAGATTCACACGTCCTGCTGTTACACATGATGATTGACATTATGCAGATTAGGATTGTGTTTCTTTCATAGAGTTTCTTTGAAATTTCCTTTGTATTCTATAATTTCACTTGATCTAAAGCACAGAACAAATATATTCAAGTTCTTAGTCTTAGGCCGAGTCAGGCATCTAAGCAATCCAAGGGTTGTAATGTTTGAAAAGATCAATATTTTAAATGTTATATGCCTTTCTAAATTTGCCAGGCCTTCAAGGTTTTTCCATTTTCCTTCAGTTCTCTGTGTAACCTTACAGAACATAAGTGGGGGTAGAGATTGGATTTCAAGAATACAGGATGCTGCCAGAAATTTCCTCCTCTTCTTCCCAGCCCCTTCTTCTCTCTTCTTCCGATCTTCACGTTTCAACCGTCGTCAACCATCTTTGGTGGCTGCATTAGAGATCCTTTGACTTGATCCTATGCACCAGTTGTGTCTTGGAAGTCTGTGTTAGTACCCTCTTTCTCTTGTTGAGAATTTTCTTTTTCTCCTCTTTATAACCCATCCCACTTTGACTCCTCCATTTCTCAATCAAATTCCAGCCCAGTTTCACCATAACCATAAGTATTAATCTTTGCCCAATCCAAAGGATTGATTGGACTTACCATGGATTTCATTACAATACTAGGACTTCAGTTGTTGGTTTTCAAGTGCTATCGTCATATTTGTCTGCAAAATTTTGTTTGCTAAATAATTTCCAGCAATATTTTATAGCTTAATCGACATGATCTCTGTCAAGCAGCATTTATGCATGAATGTTTGCTTCTCGTATTTTTTAGTTGTTCATATGTTTACTCAAGGCATTTTTAAGACAGTGTCATAACTTTTGACAAACCTTAGGCTGGGCCAATATCATCACAAAAACTTGGAGCCGCTGTCATGTGCCACAGAAATGGTCTATGGGTAGTTCCAAAAAACATACTTCAACGACAGGACATTTTCACAAGTAATTAACACACTGGTTATATCATACCTCCATCTTCGATCTTTTGATCTGAGAAGTTGCAGTGGACTCCATTTCAGGTACCTGACCACGTATGTGCNCGACAGGACATTTTCACAAGTAATTAACACACTGGTTATATCATACCTCCATCTTCAATCTTTTGATCTGAGAAGTTGCAGTGGACTCCATTTCAGGTACCTGACCACGTATGTGCTCAAAGCTATTATTTTCACCGAACGGTGATGACAAAGCATCCAAAGCCAGTACACTTATGTGGCGATTCATCCGTTCTTCTGAAACAGTCGCATATTGCAAGCTGAAGTCATCACCTGATTGTAATTGATATCTTATATCTTCTGCCAAATCTTGACTAACACCATTTCTAGATTCACCAAATGGTGATGTTCCAGCTCTTCTATCAATTAGGGTGACGACTGCACCAATGTCCTGTACAGAGGCACTCAACGCATTGTGTGATATTGATTTTACCTGAAAAGAGAAATCTTAAGATTTCATCATAGGATTACATACAAATATGCATGGATACATATAACAGGCATTGACTAGTAATTTTAATGGATACTCTCATCATGATGTTTTTAAAATGAAACCACACATCTAGTGCTGGCCATTTAACTTACAACCCAGACATGACTCATGAGACGGTTTTTATGAATACATCCTAAATTTTGTAACAACAGATTATCTCCAATATGCATTTAATTGAAGAGAACCTAACAGTGATAACGATGATACTGGTACTAGTAATAGTGAAGACAACTTCATCCCACAAAGTGTGTAGGATTCAAAAAGAATGAATAATGATGATAGAACCCATTTTTGATGCCACTTACATAACAATTTTGGAAAATAATAAATAAGGAATATTTATTACCTAACCATTTACTACAGTATACATATTGTGTAAGTCTTATTAAGGCCAGTCTTCATTATGAAAATGGCGTATTATATATGTATGATCTATATGAATTTTGGAACTTCCACCTTGTGGTACGCCACCACATCAATCCTCTATTAAGTGGGTGAAAAAAGCACAACTTTTTTGTTATTTTATTTTCCTCCTCCGACATAATTTACAATGACGTTTTTGCCAACTAAATAAATAATAAAGTGGAGATTTTTCAAGGAGAAAAAACTAAGGGTATAAAAAGTAGCAAATGCTACAATTAGGATAAATATAATCACTGTCTAATATGAGTGGCAATTGGTTCAGCGGTGCTATTAAAAACAACCTTCTATGTGCTATCAAAGCCACTCGTCCTTTCTCCTTTCCTTTCAACCAAGGTCTAACTCGCATAGCTAATGAACGAGAATACCTTAGAATCTAACCGACTATAGTCCCTAAGAACCGGCAAGAAAACCTCCCTTACTCAACCTCTTAATTCCTACAAAAGAGCCCTTTCTTAGAACATCACTTTTCAAACAAAATAGGAATGGTATACTAGTTAGTTAAGGAGGAAAAATCTGGAGTACAAATATACTATTTTGTACATTAATGGAATATGGTCCATTGTGGAACATATACATGATGACAACAACACAATGGAGAAATAGGATTCATGAAGCCGACCAGAAATAGTTGGGGCAAAACTTTGTTTTTTTGAGTTGAGTTGTAACCGTAATGATAGCACATAAAATAGAGAAATAAGCTTTATTAGGACATAAGTAGTATCATGTAAGTCGTGAATGAGATCTCGCAAGTCCCTACACAAGAGCTTGTTGACCATGACAAAGATGGGCGATGGCACAGCATGGAGGACCCTTGGTTAAAGGTATTTTAGGAAAAACATGGAGGAGGCAAGTGGTTGAAGGTGCATTAAATGAGGAGAGCATCTTTTCAGGACATAATTGAAATAATGCAAGTTGTTAAGAGTATTATGGGGAAGGCAAGGGGGTGGGGTTGGCAAGTCGCTTTTAATTTAGGTTGTAGATAACAAGAGATATTATGAGATATCATTGGAATATCATAAATGACTANAGTTGTTAAGAGTATTATGGGGAAGGCAAGGGGGTGGGGTTGGCAAGTCGCTTTTATTTTAGGTTGTAGATAACAAGAGATATTATGAGATATCATTGGAATATCATAAATGACCAAGGATAACATGGAAAACTTGAGGGGAAGACAAACTCACAAGGAATACAATTACAATCATTACTAAGGGTGAAATAATAAATCATGGGAGGACAATGGAGGAGGGAAAAGATATGATGAGATATCACTGAAATAAAATAAATGAGTAAGGGTATTATATAATGATGAAATTGAGGGGGGAAGGGGGGAGGAGAAAAGAAGCAAGCCACTTTTATAATACAACTTGAAGACTAAGTACTAGAATGCAAATTGTAAAGGGTATTTTTTTTGGAAAAATCACAGAAGGAAAAAATTGGCCATGACACAATAAATGAGGGAAATAGCTTAATTAAGAAGTGGTAGAATACAACTTGTTGAAGGTATTTTAGGCAAAGCACCGGAGGGAGAAAAATGAGGTATTTTAAGGAAAGCATGGGGGAAGGAAAAAAGTAGCAAGGCATCTCCATTATGGGTAATAGAAAAAATATAGATTTGAAAAGTACTTCGAGTATTTAGAAATATATGATCATGCAAACAAAGATATATGCATGTGCCTAGATCAAAGTTCTTAGCAATATCCACAAACCACTTCAAGTAAGCGCTTAAATGGTTGTCCTTGAGCATGTGATTGCTGATTGCCTTCTAGACTGGTGAAATCTGTGGGCAAGGGGGAGCTCAATATCCCAGGTGTACTAGTGGCAATAGATTGATTCTGGATTGCGGTCTGTTTGGCTGGCACAGCTTGAGGTTGTTTTGTATCTTCAGCAATTGGTAGTGGATAAATACTGGAAGTGTTTTTCTGAGAATCCACTAGTATAGATGATGAAGTTAAGGGAGTTGAAGGAGAAGGAACAATAAATGGTGAAGTAGTGGATTGTGAAGGTGTTCCAGCCTTTGAAAATGGCAAGAATGCATTCTTCAGGTCAACCCGTGGAGAAGAATTGTGAGAGGGTTGAGGAGAAGCAGCAGGAAGTTGACTAGGAGTTGATGGAAGCAGTAACTGTTCTGCTTGAAGCATTCTGTTACCGACACCAATGGCCTGTCCCACCTTTGGTTCATTAACCTCGTTCATCTTCTGCATCAACGACAGTCTGTTTTGCTCAATCAACTGCGGTTGTATTGGTTGCTTCAACTTCTGCGTCTGTGCCATTTTATGTTTCTGTTGTTGCATGTTAGGCTGGAATGGGTTTATAATAGAGCTTGATGGTAAGGAATTCATGGTAGGATCTAATGCATTCACCATTGTCCTTTTTGGCATGCTTCCAGTATTTTGATGTACAGTTGTCATCGAACAATGCTGCAATGGACTTACAGTTCTTTGTTCTAATCCAATTTGAGAACCACTAGGAGAAGTTATCAGGCTTGTCTGGTGTGGCCTACTCAGATTGCATTGTTGCGATCTTTCCAAACCATATTGAAGACCTGAAGCATTCCTTGTTTCTGAGCCTGTTAAAGAACTATTGTGGAGTGAGTCTATCATGTTCGCTTGTGCGTTCAGAAGACATTGCTGGGCTGATAACTGAGGTGAACCAACAGGTGTGACTGTTAAGCTTGGACTCGACGAATTGAACTGAGGTCTCAACTCTCTTTGTTGCCGCAACTGAGGGTTTGAATACTGACCGCCAGGTAGCTGAAGTAGTTGTTCGTGGTGCTGAACTGAAACAGGATTCTTGACTCTAACATGAGTAAGATACCATGTGACCACATTCATATAGTGGTAAACTTTCTCCTTGGTCCAATGAGTCATATCAGCTCTGGGCATCTGCAAGAACTTCAGAATTTTTTCTATAAAAATTCTAGTTTTTTGGTATTTTGTTGCTGCCTCTGCATTTGGTGGCTGCAGGAGAAAATCATACATCAAACAACACAAGGGCAGAACGTTCTGATGACATGATAAATCAGATATTAATGAATTAAATACAGGTCAATAAGAAATAGCATATCTTAAGCACCTGAAGGCACATTTCATTGACTCGGTTGTATAAATTAAGCAATTCAGGCAAGTAAATGTCCCTCATTGACTGAAGCTGCAAAGGAAATTGAAATTGTGACTCATTAGCAAGGGCTTATGTTGTAAGAGCCAAACCATAATATGCAAGGGTCATTATGATTGAAACTGGAGACGCAACAAGCACAATAGGAAGGGTAGAAAGAACGTGGTTGGACATTTTGAAGTAACTGGAATGATCTCGTAGAAATGTCAAGCTCTATTTATTAAAATTAAAAAGGAGAAACCAGGTCCAACCCAAGGTCTTAGAATTTAAGACATAGATGAGTTGAGTCATGAAACCAGGTCCCACCTTGTTCCCGTGGATATTAAGTCATGAACCTCTAGATTTTGCAAGATTGGAAGGAAATGTCAAGTTAAAATTAACGTGTAGGATCCACTTAATGAATAACTGACGTTGAAAATTACTTAAACTCAGAAAAATAAACTGAATTGAGAAAATCTAAGTAGTTGTGGTGGATGGAAACATTCTAGCTTCATCCCTACATTGTAGACAGCTATGATGGTTACAATAACTTAAGAAAAATGTTCAAAAATTCTAACATTCCATGGGAAGAAGGGACGATACAATAAGATTCTCTCTTGAGGACATATTCTGATTGTAACTTCTCATCATTGTCCTTAGCCTGCAATGGCGTAAGTCTGTCAAGAGAATTTCCAACAGGAATAAGTCCTCATCCACCTCCTAGAATTGAGACTAATGCATTGACAGTAGAGAGAGCAATCTGGAAGCATACGACTAGATGCAATCCATGATAAAAGGCAAACAATGGATCCTTCGGATGACTTCTCAAATAATAAAAACCACTTTCTCACTCACAAATGCTAGTGCAATAAAACTTACTGAGGTACCAAATCTATAATTTTATTCAGTTCCTAATGATTATGATTTAAAATTTAATTTTAATATTTGTTATAGAAATGGAAGAATATGGGTACGTGCATATTTTTGAATGAAACACATTAAGAACTTTGATTTGTTAGTAGTTAAGAGAAAGCTTACAAACTTTCTTGAGTAATGATAAGATACCCCACGTCTTCTTTCATTTGTTTTTTCGTTCCAAAAAATTCAATCCTATAAAAGCATCATGTATTTTTCTTCCATATAGAGGTGAAAATCATTAATTGAAAATAAGTGTTCCCCTTATTAAAATTATATAAGAACTTTATATTTGGAATCACTCAATCATCTAGACCTCTAAAATTTGTATGTATTAATTTGTCGATAATTGGCGAGTCATCGATTTATGTAAGAACCAAGTTCAAATATATGACTAATTAAATAACGGGCTGGACAGTGCATGAGGCTTCCTCCATTGCGAGGCCTGAGGAGGGTTAGATGTACCAAGTCTTACCTCCGCATTTGGAGAGGCAGCTTCTTCTCATCACCACTTGAATACAATTCAGAACCACTTTCTGGGAATGACAAAGGGTGCTTCTTTTCAATTTGTCACATTTCTTATTTTTATGTAGCATTGGCATCATAGCCTCAACACAAATAATTCAAAATCTCACAACATTCTTTTCATACTATTTCCTAAACCATGAGGTCTTAACCAACTCCAAAACTGATTTTTTAAAAAACAGTGTACTGTTTTTCTGTTTGGTAAAACAGTTACTGTTTTTTTATTAAACAGTTTCTGTTTTGGGTTCTGTCTTGATGATTGGGCTGTTGTGAGGAGTGCAGATTGCTGAACTGCATGTTGATCAGTCAANTTTTTTTATTAAACAGTTTCTGTTTTGGGTTCTGTCTTGATGATTGGGCTGTTGTGAGGAGTGCAGATAGCTGAACTGCATGTTGATCAGTCAAGGCAGGAGCTGTGCTGAAGGGCCAAAAAACAGTTGCTGTACAGGATTTTAACAGATTTTTGGATTTTTGTATAGTTTACTGTTTTGTTTGTTAAAACAGTTACTGTTTTGCTTAACAGTTTCTGTTTGTTGCTTCTTGTAAATTTTGGATTTCAATAAATAAAATTCTCTCTATCCTTTAAAAAAAAAAAAAAAACTCCAAGACTGTCTACATTCCACATTTGTAACATGATTAGGAGAATTTTATGCAAGGATGCAAAGGAGTACAGATGGATGCAGTTTGTGTTGACTTAAAAGCAACAGACTTATGTCTAAGTTTGTAACATTACAAAAAATTCATGCCGACATCATGTTTGGAGAGTTGAATGCAATTGAGAAAAATAACGAAGAAGTCCATTTTGAGCAGGGAAAAAGAACTTTTAGAGGTTCAATTAGAGAAAAGACCTCTAATCGTCGCAGAGTGAATATGTGATCTTAAAAATACAACTAATCTGATACTCAAACTAAAAGATACACAAACCTCAGCATTGGAATTAGGTTTATTCTTCATATCCAATATTGTGAGGTGGATGATGACAGCACTCAAAAGTGTACNACTTTTAGAGGTTCAATTAGAGAAAAGACCTCTAATCGTCGCAGAGTGAATATGTGGTCTTAAAAATACAACTAATCTGATACTCAAACTAAAAGATACACAAACCTCAGCATTGGAGTTAGGTTTATTCTTCATATCCAACATTGTGAGGTGGATGATGACAGCACTCAAAAGTGTGCCAAAAAGGTTAAAAAGCCTTGAGTTTAAGGTTCATATTCTTATATGCATAATTGTGTACTCATGACCTATTGTGAATCGATAAATTGAGAGTGATTCAAATCATGAAGAAATTAACAGATACACAAACCTCAGCATTGGTCTTAGGTTTATTCTTCACATCTAATATTGTGAGGTGGATGATGACAGCACTTAAAAGTGTACCAAAAAGGTTAAAAAACCTTGAGTTAAAGGTTCATATTCTTATAGGCATAATTGTGTTTGAGAGTGATTCAAATCATGAAGAAATTAACAGGTGTACATGCTGCAAAAATATAATGTACTGTAAGAACTAAGAAGTAATACTAGAGGACTTTCCTTGTTAACATGTATAGTAGCCCAATGTAAGGTGTTTGACATATTCTTTTCAATCTATTTATAGTTTCCCAGAAGCTGCATTACTATTGCCAACTCTCTTTCTTTCTTTCTTTCTTTTTTTTTTTGAGAAAGTGACTTGAACCTCAAGATAGTATAATGGTTTTACACCTTTTCTTCACTCCCCAGAGTTGTAAAAAAAGTGCCACTAAAAGCATGTCCTTGAAGAACTTACAACTATTTTGAGATCCGATTCTAACTTATTTACAATTGCTCATCAAATTGATTTGTTTAACCTCACAAATGTTTTCTTTTCATTTCATGATATAAGCGCCATAGTCCTCTTTTGTGCCAACATTTTTTCTTCTTTGAAAGAATCTATATAATTGCCGTCAAATCCATTTTTCTTTTTCCATCTCATCTACCATTTCTTCATTGAGAAACTTCCAAAATCTCCCCAAACTTCTAGTTAACAAGAAAAAGTTGATGTTTTAGTTGTGAAACACTACCTTAACATCCCATGACAAATACTACATATTGGTTTCGGTTTATAATTATCACCCTTGCCATTATTAGAAGAATACAAGAATCCCCCATGCGATCATCATTCTACTACTCCTTATTTAGAAATCACTCTTATTAAACATGACTAAGAAAACATACTCACCTCAATGGCCAAAGCATAAAAGTTCAAAATAAGACTGATCTAAACATTTCTTCAGGAAGATGATTAAGACAAAGAAAAGGAAAGATAAAGTGAACAAAAATAAAAATAAAAATAACTATTTATGATATGCAGTTTAGTGAAAAGACAAAGGTAAAGTTCTTTTTTTCTTCAAAAGAGTTTAGAAATCATTCTTGACATAACAAAAGGAAAATATGCCAAAAATATTAAAACACAACCGTTTGAAGAGCTCTGGGTACCTTTTTTGAGAGATCAGCAGAAAAACAAATATTTAAACAGTTNTATGCCAAAAATATTAAAACACAACCGTTTGAAGAGCTCTGGGTACCTTTTTTGAGGGATCAACAGAAAAACAAATATTAAAACAGGTTTTTTTGGTGGCATGAATTCATCCAGAATCGGGAGTAAGGCACAAATATTAGCTAACATTCCCTACTATATTATATCTGACTTACCAATTGCTATTGTAGAGGGATCAAATCAGATCAAACTATTAGAGCATCCAATCCAAACCCAATTAGCAATGAGTGAAGTGGCCCTCAAGTATATAAATCAACCTTAGTGGTCCTAATTATTCGATGTGAGATACAAGTTTTCTAAACACTCTCCCTCACATGGTATCCTTCCTTGCACGTGGGGTCAACAAACAACAGACTTAGCCCACTGACTACCTACCATGTTAGAACATCTAACCCAAAACTAATTGGCAATGGGTGGAGTAACCCCTCAAGTATATAAACCAACCTTATGGTTCTAATCATTCGATATGGGATATAAAATTTGTTAACACAAATAAATAGTAAGCCCCTCACCAAAATGGCAGGTCTAAATTCCTTTAGTTACTTATTCTAAACTAACAAATTTTTAAAATTAAAGCAAAAAATTACTGTAACAAACATTATAGAATTACTGTAGCAATGCTGCTCACACAACAGTGTTGTGGCATCATTCATGCTCATATGCAATGCACAAAAATAAAGATATTTTTCATCTATGATAATATTCATGATTCTATAAATTTAATACATGTGATAAGCATGTTGAGGGTAGCCTTAATTATTTCAGAGTTCAACGTCTGAATAAGGCTCAAACGTTTCTGTCATTTGAAGGTTCATAAGTCATAAAAAAGAACTCATGATGTCAAGCATCTCCCTGGAGCTACTAATTGCCTTTATCTTTAACAATTGAAAAATAACTGCCTGTCTTCAACTTGACGTGATTGTTAAACATACTTGAGGATGTGATAGCCTAGATTCCTCTTTTCCTTTTATCCTGCTTCCTCTTCTTTCAATTTGAGTTTCTTCCATTACTATAATTTCATTTGACGTGATACACCAAAAAGTTACACCTCCCCATCACCTTATATAAACCATTTCAATTCCAAAACCTTTTTCCTCAAATTCCTCATCACCCGTAAGCTATTTTTGGCCCTATGTAGTACTGAAAACTAAGAAAACCCTGCATCCTTAAGTCATGTAATCATAAACTACATATACAGGACAACTGACCATGAAAGTACCTGTGGGTAGGCTTGATCACGCCAATCCGCTGAGTTTGAATGTTCAGTCTGACGTGTAGAGTCTACTGATGCTAGAATCAAGATAATAATGTTGTATTAGCCAAACAATATTCTTTATGTTATTTGTGGGGTTGGGATTTTTTTTTTTTT